GCCAACTCACTCCACGGCTAGATTATAACCTAATATACCTGAAAAGCAAGCCAATAAAGTCAAAAAGAGTGATTGTTTTCAGGCGTTCTCTATCTTCAAGCGTATCCGTTCCCTGTAAATGTGAAATAGCACCGGCGAGAACATTTGACCGAGTAACAGGAAAAATTGAAATTGGGACAATGAAACAAAGGGAAAAAATATATTAACCAGATCTCCACAGAAACGGGAGTAAAGCGTTCGATGTTGAAGAACGACGGGACGTGGCTAACTAGCTGGTATAAAAGGGTAAGTGGTAGAGAGAAACATCTGTGAACGGGTGCTTCTTTTAAATATGAATAATTGCAAGTTTACTCTGGTAATAATAACAACGATATGAATCCCTTATATAATTTTTCCAATGGAGCGGAACATGTGTGTATGGAGCCTGCACAATAACCGACAGAATAATATTGTCTTCACACATCATACGTCTCCTAGTTTTATACGACGAGTGGTTTAATCTACATAGAAAAGGCCCCCAGACAACTATAGCTTGAATACGGTCATTGGGCCTTAAATCCGTGAATCGTATAACGTCCTATGTGCGTACGCCTCCATATGAACCATTTGTTAATTTGTCAGGCGATTCAACCACCCCAGCATCGGTAGAAGAAGAAGATAAGAGATGGCGCACAGCGTGTGTCTCGTATAGCGTCTAAATATCGTGAATTTGTTTTGATTAGTTGACGAATCCATCTGCACCGTAGACTTTTACGTGTTTCCTAGCTGAGCTATAGACTTATCCACCAATCGAGGATAGGGCCTATGGAAGGGACGATGGGAAGGTTGGGCAGGTCAAAATGGGGTGACAATATATAAGTAGCGAAGTGATCAACACAGTAATTCGAACGAAGATTTACACGGCTTCTGGCCATATGAAACAACATATCGTTAAAATGCCCCGTAGCAAATCTATGACAAGTGATATCGCTCTTGATGAGACGTAAAAGAAGGGCTAAAAACGTATTCCCATTACTATAACAGTAGATAACTGGTGAAGTGGAAATAAACTAGTCGTATCCAGAACACGTTTTCAGCCAAATGGGTGCATTTTAATCTAGAACTTTGTGGAATAGTGTTAATGTCACATAACCTCATATATATATATATATATGGTACAAGTGCAGACAGCTTTCTGCACTTGTTCTTGCAACTTGTAAAAGTTCTTTCAGAAAGAACTTTTACCACGAACCCCTCTACGCTAATAGAAAATGCTTTTAATTAACACTGATCATAGGGAGTGTTGTTTATAGTATCGGCTCAGTTCGAGAACAGACAATTTTTTTTTTTTTTTCATTCTAAAGTATTTTTTTTCGTATTTATCTAGCGCGATGTGTCCCTGTTATCGGATCCATTAGCTTCCAGCTAATAATTTCGCCTGGCAGCCGTTGCATCTTCAGACTGTTTAGCGGATCGAGATAGGGGAACGCGCAATTTTGCTTACTAAACCTCTCTTCTCTCTTAAAGGGTTATCTTTATTAGAATTTATAAATTCTTGTTATACGTAGAACTCTCATAATGATGTCTTTGCTGTTCGATGCAAATTCAGTTGAGCTGAGAGATATCCTCAGTGTAGCATCCATTTGGTTCAAAATTTTACCCTACGACGAAACAATTAGTGCGTCATATAAATTTCTAGTTCAGAAGAAGAATGATAGTCGTGTTCGTTTCAGACCAACGTGCAAGTCGACTTACTGACTGACTGGGCTGTTTGATTTTAGAAAATACAACGTATGACAAAAAAAAAAATAGTGAAAATTAAAAATTATAATCATATAGTACCGTTAACATGATATGCTACTATCCGTATCGAATTAGATAGCATCACCTACGGCAAAGACCCGTGCCTTCGTTACCGTACTATTACAGATTTACGCCTCTAGCATCGTTGGTTTGCTCGGGCAATTTTCGGAGGCTGCCTGCTCAGAATCCCTAGGACGATTAGGTGACTAAGTGAGCAGAAATCGTCCCCTACTTACCTCGTTCTATAAGCGGTCGGAGAAAATGAGCCGTTCTTCTTTTCCACCAATGATGAAACAACTGTCCTTTAGTTCATCGATAGTGGACAGCATCGAAGTAGAATTACAAAGGCCATTGCCGCCAACAGGTGCCAGCCACCGCTCAATGGCTATCTACCTACAAAAAAGGTGAATATCCGAAGACGAGGGTGGGTCGGCAACACACGTTTGCTGGTTAACATTTGTATGATCTGTTTGTTTTCGATCGGCTGCTAGCGGCATTGAATAGCCGGTAATAAATCCATAGACAATCACGGCAGAAAGGAGTAGAGAAATTCGTAAACGTGACTGGAACAACAAGGTTTATGTGTAGCCCTGACAATTTGTAATACTTGAAACTAGGACTGAGTTATGTCTCAGGCCACCAATTGGCCGGTACTTCAATAGAAGAAATTCAGTTTTTTATATATATATATATATATCAAATTAGCGATAATTTAAACAGAAGAGTACAAGACAGTTGTGATGCGTAAATGACAGATATGCTAGGCAATTACCTGGCCACGGATCACACTGCGACAGACACCGTATTTGATCTCAGCCGTTCATTCACCGACAGAATCAATCTGTATAGAAATGATAACTGAAAGATCTTCTGTTCGACGGATTCCACGGGCGTCATCTTCGCGCCTAGCGTAATTACACCCAAATAGGTTATTCAATACATAGCCATAAAAGTAAACAATCACAACGGAATAAACAGACCTTTTAAAAATAGTGGGCCGAGTTTTATTTCACAGTGGGTCCTTCATAATCGCGTCGTGCTCACGCGTGCAGACACATACAGACAGGTTTGCCTGAATTTACTAAATTGAAGAATCGTCTTAGAAATGTATTTCATGTATCCACTGGAAACTATTCAAGCTGGTAACTCTGAAATGTGTAGAATTGTATCGTTGGACACGACAGACGCTAACTGATCGTGAAGCAGTCTGAGGGCAAGAATTTAGATTCAGTATAGGAGATCGAAGTACGCTTAAACTCAACAAAGAGCGCCAATATCTATTTCAATGACATAATTTTGTGGTTACCGCGAGTTATTCAAGCAGTCTGTCAACTTCCACGACCCGCCAGCTACTTAGAGATCGGCCGTACTTACTTCTCTTAGTCTAGCATCTTGGTGTATTGTATGAGGCCAGCAGGGCTTAAAACGAGGCCCATCACTAACTCGATCCGTTCACAGGTGACGTGGGAAGCTATTGTTCCCGCCCAAAAGTACGGGCATTTGCAGCGTCGCTTTAGAATTTGATCTGCAACGGGTCATAAATGGGCTTTGCTTTTATCTCTTTCTTTATCTATTATATTCTATATATATCTTCTTTGCGGTACGACTCGAGTTAGAAATGACTTGTCAAGGCGGGGCAAAGCGCGTTTAACATGGTGTATGCGTCCCTCCAGTCGACCACTCGGCATCGCTATTGTTTCGTAAAACATAAAGCGATATATATTCTCGAGAATTTTTCTCGGTTAGATGCGATGTTTACTTGCGCTGCAGTTATACTCTATGGAAATGTGCGGTACTTGTAAACGGATAGCCATATTTTAAAACGACGTATGGTGTGCTGAACAGAATCATGCCTCGACAAATGTACGCTGTTATTCAATTCGACAGATCAATCCAGACATGAGAAACTTATCAAACGAGCCCCTAAACATCGCCTTCCGTGTAAGCCATTTGTATGGCGTCGTTGGAAATGACAGCTCCCCGAGTTGTCGTACCGCAGCTGCGTACAAGTAGATACTTTTCTTGATGAATGCTACTTCTATATCAGGAAATTTGTATTCCATACAGGTAAATATTAGGTTACCTACAATTATTGAATAGTTAGTGTTTACCATTTATCTAAACCTTGATAATTATATCATCAGTAACTGTCGCCATTCGAACAAAGATCGTTTTGAACGTACCGATGGTTGCCATCGGCAAACGAACCGAACATTCACGCTTGCTGGTTAGCTATATTAATAACATGAAAACTCGTCACGGGGTTCGTGCACTTCAGCGAACCGGATTTACAGTGAGAAAAGATTAAAAACGCAGACTACATTCGATAGACAGTGATAAGTCTACTCCGTTTTTGTTTTCGACAACGCTTGCTTAATACATTAGTTACTGTTCAATTTCAGGACGGTCTAAATATAGAAAACTTTAATTCTTTCAAAAAGAATGGTATACTTCGTTTTTTCGCCGGCGAAGTTCGGCAAAGCAGAACATCGACAACAAAATAGGACTCACAAAAAGTTTTTGTCTCCATCATCTCGAATATGTGTATTACATTTTCCTCTAGTTTGTTCGTAAATAAAGCTTGCGCCTATTCTCGTATCGAACATCTGTCCCGCACCACGGCAGACTTCGATCTCTTTCTTTGATTTTAAGCCAACCATCGCTTCTGGAGCTTCGAAGCAAACCTCTTTTTCCTTCTCAAACACATCTTAGGGGCATTTAGCATCGAAATGTACTCGATGGTTTTTTAGCAGGCAGAAATGCGCTATTTTCTGACTGATAACTCTGAATTCTACGTACGTGTGCCCCAAACCTACAACTGAATAAAGATTCATTCTAGGTCACGCGCAGCGATAACACCTTAGTGTGGACACAGTAGAGGAATCTAACAACAATGCTCACGTCCGGATTTCCGAACCCAGCACGGCGTATTTCGAAGCATCGCGTTCCTCTAATCAGTTTTAGTAGACGACGCAGACTTGCACGCGTCTCCTGACGACATCTGCCACGCGCGGGTGCTGGCACCTGACTGAAAGCGCCGCCCAGCCAAAGGCGGGGCCTGCAAGCACTGGAGAGGAGGTGTGGAAAGGGCAATGGGTGGGAAGGGGAGAGGGCGACGTCCAACTGGAGAACCATTGCTATTGGCCGGGTTTTTCGACTACAATTTTTTCCGCGCACACTTTTCAATATTCGCTTGACGAAAGCGCAGCGACGCGCTTTCAAGCAGGCTCTTTGCCGCCAGGTGAGCGTCGCATCACCGTTGGGCAAAAGCTAACTGCAAAAATCAACTGCGCACGGAGCCTGCTTCGTCGGTGTCAGCAAACAAAACGTAGTCGACCATCAATTGGTGCACGTCCAATACCCTTCTGGACAAACAGCGGTTAACGGGAATGAGTAAAAGGACCTAGAATCAAAAATTCTGTGAATAACATCAGCATATTGTTTGAGGACAGTTAGCAACAGCCTAAACTCTGGCAGAACACAGCTTCCGTGAATTGTCACCTTAACATTATTTGCGCTGCCAAATAGTTAGCAGATATGCAGAAAACCTTGCGTGACTGACTGTGTGTGTATGTGTGGGTGGGTGTGTGTGTGTGTGTGCGCGTGTGTGTGTCTGTGTATGTGTGAGAGATAAATTTGCGTTGACGATATCGTATCCGACCAACAGCTAATCACAATCGTCTATGGCAGCGTTGCGGTTCTCGGAAGACGGTAATATCTTATTTGTCCGCGTAATAACAACGGCTACTATGGACAGCGTCATCAGCAGTAACTAACCTGTCGTGCAATGATAACGACAACAACAACCTGACATCACGACCGATCTGGACAACAGTGCACGATGCGTGGGCGGCAGCTGTCTTGATTAATTTGACAAACAAGTGCTCATGCAGCGTGCATGCCTAGGCCAGCAGGCGAATATCAATGACGACCACAATTGTCCTAATAGTAACGAAGGACGAAGATCGCTCAAAGGACTTCTGTAGTGATCTACTGTGGAAAAATCGGAAGACAAAGGTAGCGGCTGTGACATAGCCGATGTGCATGTTCAGGTGATTGAATGAGCAGGTGCAGAGTGAATGCGCGTGACACGGAAAAACGTTTCTACGCAAAAAAAAACTAATAAACTGAATCAGAGGGACTACCATTGTGACACTTAGTGGATTTAATGTGCTGTTTGGGTTTCGAGTCGCCAATATCAAGCAACATCGTTTTAGTGAACCTTGTGGACGCTTTGTGAAAGAGACGAACCTAGAACAACTTCGAAAAATATTAAAACTAATAATAAGCGAACACGTTTTGCGCACGTAAAACTTATTAGCCGTTGTCTCGAACAGGGATACTTTTTGCTCAAACTCTGAGCGTTGCGGTGACGCCAAAAGAAATCACCGTACGTAACTGTGCCGCGAGAAACTTTGTGACCGCCAAAATTTAAGGTATGGAATACGCAGCAAATATATATAACTAACAGTGTGCATGCAATTTGGCCGGCATAGGATATTGCTGATTAGTAATCTGGGGTAAAGGGCTTTGCGCGTATTTGTACTCGATAAACGCTCCGGACGATACAGCATAAACAGTAGATGTGTTCATGTAAGGGACATTTATAAGCGTCGGTAGAAAACGTAAAAAGCGCAATATGTGAACTAGGACTTCCAAGATCAACTATTTTTGCTCTTTCGAAACTGAAAAAAAAAAACTAGCGTTCTGTTTTTGTCACACGAGAGACTTGTCACCTATTCAGCCAATTCAATCATATATTTGTCTGTTTCATGTAGAACTCCTGTGTCAGGAACCTATAGTTGTCATAAGCTGAAGTTTGGTGCCAGCATGGTTCTAGTATCTGTCTGGCCAATGCAGCTGTCAAAATGAACGATTTCTCCTTGTAGCACGATTACTTACTATTAGAGATATGTACAATAATGCCAGCAAGAAACTGCCAATGCGTTCACTGTTCCGTTAACCGGTATTGGGTCGTTTTTTCTCCGAACATCAAATCTGAAACAGTCTTCATGTGCCCGTTCGGGCTGCAACATGCGCAAATCGAACGGGAAGAATACTGCGCTGATTCCATGCACACATACACAGCAGCACGCCAAAGAGCAAACATGGCCACGCACAGCCACGACTGCGCTTAGGTCTCTAGGTAAAGTGCGTACACGCGACGAAGAGATAGATCGGGCAGTGAGCTCCTAGCAGCCATCTTTTTTCACCCTTTCTCCCTTTTCGTAGCGTCGAAAAAGGCGAAACGATGACACGACGAGAATAAAATGAACTCGCCGCGCAGGTCGTCCTATCGAGAGCCTCCTCAAATCCTGCTTGGTCGGACGGGCTTTCATACTACCCCAGCTTCGGGAAGCCGGCGGAGTTTGCTAGGATTGAACGGGTTGAAAATAAGAGCTGAACGAAGGAGAGGTCGCTTGAAAAAGGGGGGGCATCTGTAGGGTGGCCGGATACTGGCATAGCTGAAAGATCGGGAAATTGAGGAGCAGTGCGGCGGGACGGGGAAGTACTGGTTCAAGAAATAGGGAGAATTTGGAAGCCAGCAGTGCAATACTCCGGCTGCTCGATTTGGCGGACAAGGAATGATTCACCCCATTTTTCCCTCGTGGCGTGTGTGTGTCTGTGTATGGGAGTCGGGGGTACGCTGCCTGGGAGCAACGACGCTGTCGACCAGCGCCTCTCTCACTGTCCTTTTCTGACCGGCAGTAGTCGTGGTTCTGTTCTGCTCTGCCCGACTTAATTACACCATGTGGAGTTTAATCCAAAGGCCTTTTTTCTTCGTACCTATATCTTCGACTCTCGTTCGTTCTCTGCCACACTCGGACGTTGCTGCTCCGATTCCTTGACCATTTCATTTTAGGCGGCGGCGGCCATTCCCTTTACTCGCTCACTAACTCTCCATGCTCAATTCTCAAGTTCAAACCCTTACAATGTATTCTTGTGCTGCTGACAGCCAGCATAGCCATTTCATGGCCTTAGTGAGCGTCCCTACTTTTATCACTTTTTTGTCCATTATCGCGAATCTAGTGAACCGTAGAGAACCTTTTTTTTTTTTTTTTTTCATAATAAGGCCGTAGGTGTCCTGTTATGTGACTTTTTAAAATTGTTCACTTGTATTGTATAAGAAAAATCTGGTGTAAAATATGATGAAATGGGTGATTTCGTTATTTAGCGTTAGAGTTGGAAGAATTTAATCTAAAAATATGACAGACAGCAATATGACTATAAGTCAAAACAAAAGTTTGAATGAGCTCACGCTAATAAAGATATACCTAGTGGAAGTCGGTAAAAATGTTCGTCCGGTTTCGATTCTCTATCTTTGTTACCTCCAACGGGAGTCAATAGAGAGCCTGATTTGCGTGTTATATAGAATGAACCGATCCATCGTAGCAACCGTATACCGCAATAATAGATCAATTCCGTATGTTCCCATTGTAATTTGAGCAGAGCATCCTTTAAGCCTTATTTTACCTTGTTTTAAGCTTGGCTTGTTAGACCCAATGGTACAAGGCATATATATATATATATATACTTAGTAGTACTTCTGGATCTACAAAACTGTAGACCGAAAAAGAAAAAATGGAAATAAGGTCCCACAGAAGATTGAGGTCGACTGAGTCGGGCTGAAAGAAAGGCGCCGATACGGTAGGGCGAAACGACCACTACGGGGGAGGAGATGGAGCAAATGAATGTATGTCCAAACCTTCAATTCGAGGCAGGTCGTTTCGCGGCTCAAATTCCTCATGTTCGAAACGCTTCATGCCCCTACTCGCCGAAGTCAACGGCAGCTTTTTTCTTTTTGGACTTTGTCTTTTTCCCTTTAATTCTTCATCTTCTTTCGTTGAGCACTGTCCTTCCGGCCAGGCTCCACAGCAGATCCGACATCCATCTCAGCAGGCTGAGAGCTGCTCATTTCAATATCTCACTAGTGGTCGTCTCTTCTTCCCCATTTTTCGTGGGCTCCAGCATGTACCGTTCCACGCAAGTTTCGTCCTCCAGCTCGTTGAGTCCGATCTCTACGAGGCCGTCTAAAAACGAAAAAGGAAGGGTGAAAAAGGAAAGGAAATTCTGCTGCGACTGTAGCTGGCTTTCAAGCTTTCGCAACTTCATAGTCATCGCAGTACTAGTGTCCGCCGTCCCTTCTTCGTTAGGAAGAATTGAAGCCGCTCTTAGCAGCGGATTCAGTCAGTACAGCTGCCCAAACTGCCGACCACTGTGCGGAAAACAGGGACCAACGAAGCGGTGGAGGAAGCAAGAAATATAGATAAATATATAGAAAGATAGATTGGAAAACGCGGGCTAACTTATATGCAGATCTTACATTTCTTCAGTCTCGCTTCTTGCCAGTTTGGCATTTCTTTCCCAACTGCCGCCATACTGTTAGCTTAGCACGTCCTGAGGGGGTTTCGATAGGCTAGTTAGGTTCGTCGAAGTTTATGAAAGGAAGAAAGAAGTCGCTTTTATACGACTACTATCGGGACGACCCCAATTTCTGATAATACTTCATCATCAGGAAAGGCACGTTAACGTCAATCCTAACAAACAGAAATCAACGCCATAATACTTTGCTGTTCCACAGTCGCATGTACTTGCTAAAGCGGGAATCTGGTATCCCATTTTTACCCGGGGGATGGAACGAGGGGAATTGTCGTATCGTGGTGCTAAGAATTCCTTACGTAGAAAGGGCAGGAACTAAAGGAAAGCTAAGGGGTCACAACCATCGTTGGGCTGGCCTTTCGTGCGTCTGTTCTTACAAACGGCCCTTTTCTCCGTTCCACTGCTTCGTTTTCTCCCGTTCTATACTACTCACTTTCAGCCCCTGACCCCTTTTGATTTGCCCGTCCTTCTTTCTTTCTCTTGGCCTTTGCTTGCTACTGCTCACTCCGCCTTCTTCGTTTGCTCTCTCGCGATTTTAATTAATTTCGCCACCTTCTTAGCACTCAGGGGCTAGCTAGCTCGTGGGTGAGCCATCATGTGTCGGGCTCCTCCACAACTACTCCTATCATGACGATGACGATGACTACGGCTACTAGCATTGGCCCTCGTTTTCTTTTCTTTCTGCTTCGTCGTCTTTTCTTTTTCAATTTTTTTTTTTTTCGTTTTCGAACTTGGTCGTAGCCCGGTAGTTTTTGAGGTCCCAGAATTTCCTCCAATAGCGATCCCGCCATGGTTCTTCTCCTAGCTTGCTTGCACATTTCCCCCCTCTAGCTCTGGGTCTTAAAGGGGGTTTGCTTTGCCTTATGCCAATTCTGGCTTCGCCCTTGATGATGGGCGCGGCGTCGGCGGCGCCGGCAGGGAGTCGACCGCTACCACTTACTGTCTGTGCCGTCGGTTAAACTCCACTATAAGGAGGCAAAAGCCAGTCGTGTTCCGTCCACAAGGGCGATAGCAGATACACACACACGCATACACGTTTGACATCCAGATTAAAACTAGTCGGAGAGAGGGCGCAAAGTAAGCGAGATTCACGTCGAGAAGCACAAAATACGATTGCCTGATGTTTCTTTATTTTTCATTGCTCTGCAAGAACAGTGCTCCATCGACACTTTGATGCGCGCATGGGGCTATGCGAGAATAAAGGAAATAGTCAAAATTTTCTGGGCATGGCGCCGTCAAATCCCTCCGAAGAAACAGGTACGAACGCACGACTCTCTCCGGCAGATCTCCGCCAATAGCCGAAGCCGCGACTCAATTCTCTTCTCGCCACTTTTCTTTCAGCGCTCCCTCCAAAGTTTTATTCAACCTGAACAATCGGAAATCAGTCGACCAGTCGAGCCGCCGTACAACAGACTCAAGACTGGAGGTTTTAAGTACGACGGATAGATGAAGCGAGGATAGATATATGCAGATGGAGGAAACTACCCCCCGCGACTAGTTTCATTGGATGATGACGACTGAAAGAAGAAACCAGCTGCAGCAGAAGCAGAAACAACTGGGGAACGGGATGGCAAATAAGAATCATATTTTAAAGGGAATACCAATAGAAGACTTGAAGAAGACAGTACCCCCTGAATGTTTCCCTAATAAGTTGCTAGCGGGATAGTTATATTTTATAGGTCAATATACGCGGAGAAACAAAACTCGACACTGGAACAATCGCGGAAGGTATTGGCAAAAATGTAAACTATTCTCGTTTATTATATCTGACCTGTGATTTTTCGGGTTTACTGATAATTTAATTGGGTGACTGTTCTACCGTAGGATAATTTTGAGCGGAAATGTTCCATGGAAACTGCTTGAAAAGCTATATCTCTATTAGAAGCTGTTGGTGGTCCTCATGACGTTAAGGAACGAGGGTCCTTGTTTCAGATTAGAGCGAACGATGTGACGAATGTCAACCACCGGCAAAAGAAGCATCGTCACTAATAACAATACCTCACGTAGGTGGATTATCTTGTTCAGAACTGCTGACTTTTAATCCGAGATTTATCGT